TGTCTCTCTCTCCCTCTCTCTCTCTCTCGCTCTCTCTCTCTCTCTCTCTCTCTTTCACACACACACACACACACACACACTTCCGTGTCCCCTCTCTCTCGCCCTTTTCTCTGTCTCTCTTGCTCGCCCCTCACTCTCTCTAGCTCGCCCCCTCATCTCTAGCTTGCTCCCTCTCTCTTGCTCGGCCCACTCTCTCCTCTCTCTCGTTCTCCCCACTCTCGCTGGCCCTTCCCTCTCTCTCACTCCCTCTGTCGCGCTTGCCTCTTTCTCTCTTGCTCGCCCCTCACTCTCCTCTCGCCCCTCTCTCTCCCTCGCTCCCCCCTCTCTCCCTCGCTCACGCCCCTCTCGCTCGCCCATCTCTGTGTCTCTCTCTTTGTGCGTCTCACTCAGGCACGCATGCAGTGGGGCACTTCTGCAAGGGAAGTAGGTAGACTAGCTCTAGAAATCTCGCCGGTCTGGGCTGCTGCGGCCGGGCCAGTGGGTGGCGCTCTTGAGATAAACGTCATCTTAATCCGGCCTATTCTGACTGGTTTCGCCTCATTTTGTTCACTGTATGGAATCTCAGTTGATAACAGACTTCTCTAACATATATGAAGCCGTGGGTTCATTCCCGAGCACCAGGGAAGGGAAATCAGATATGTTGCCAAGGCTAGAGGAAAAAAACCGTGGTCTCTGATGACTGACAGATGCTATGCCCAATCCACAGATGAGCTGTTGTTGCCGCATGTGCGAAACACTGGTGTTCCTCCGGTAGACCTTTTGCATTGCGCCCTGAGGATGGTCTACTCCGGGCCAGCGTTCCTTATAATGTGTGTGAATATTCGCTAGAAGGAGGGCGTGCTCTTTGTTAGTCTCCAGGCAGCCCTCTTTCTGATGAAACACTTGATCCATGCGGCTCATAAGGTAAAGGGCACCGGCCACCAAGCCAGACCTTAGTTGACCTTAGTTGAATCCTCAGGACCTACAATAACGGAAAGAGAAAACTGCCAAAAATTGTTCCTTTACCTCCACCCCCAGGCCATGGTGTGCTTGCCCACCCCTACACACACAAAATAAATAAAAATGTAACGAAAACTTAACAACAACAACAACAAAAATACCTTTCTTCGCATGGAAAATTTAGCTGAGCTCTGGAATTCATAAGTTAATTGCAGACAAGCATACGAATTTTGTGAAGCCCCTGGACTAGATGTTGAAACTACACAAATCCCAGCTTGAGGCCTAGCCCCCAGTAATGTAGCCAATCGGAGAGCAAATCATCTGGAAACATGAAGTCCACTTTCTGGGATGGACTTTAAACACTCATTTCGGAATTCATCAACGGAGAATAAAATGTTTAACACCTCAGTCTGGGCACCCCTATGATAGGTGTGGCTGATTTCAATCACTCAGCGGTGGATTTGGCTCCATCTGTGTGCCCAGCCTTCCAGCCATAGTCCTGCCTTCCTCAGCCCTCAGCACCAGGGCCCTGAGGTGTTCAGTTTCCTGCCATTTGGCCTGGAAGGTAGCCACTGGTAGAACTGGAGCCACTGTGCAAACCTAACTTCGGCTGGTTTTGGTAGCAGCCAAGGATGTGGGAATAGCACATCTGCAAGCCTATGTCTTGGGGAAGGAGCAAACACCACACAGACACCCACATATGCACATTGGGCACATTTATTCGTAGGTAGCAGCTACAAAGGAAAGCATGAGTACAAGGATGGGCCTTCAAGGCCTCTGGTGACAGTCTCTGATATCCATCCACCGAGCAAACGGTCCAGGCAGAGACGCCTCGGAACCAGAATTAAGAGGGTCGGTCCATTCCAAACTGAAGGGTGAATTCTTCTGCCTTCCTCTTGAACATCTCAGGGTTCTGGGTCAGAAGGTCAGCAAGCTCCAGCCGCACGGGCTCTTCTGGATTTGGTCTACCCACCAGCATGTTGAGGGCCTCCAAGACTGGGGAAAGAACAGAGCAAGGCATCAGGACCAGGGAGAACCACGGGAGAAGGTCAGGGCTACTCATCCCCAGATTCTCCTGGAGCCCCACAATAGTTCCTCAGGGGACCCCAAGAGGCTTCCACCACAGCCAAAGCAGATTCCCTCTCATTGTCTCTTCATTTTACACAGGGTCTGGCTATGGAGCCCAGGCTGCTCTCAGACCAGAGCCCCTCCACCTCCCGTGTACCAGGACAGGCAAAATACACCGACACACGGCCCATACCACCATACCACCACACCTAACTCTAGATCTGTAGTTTTAAAACAATTACTTGCCATGGCTTCATAGAAGCTTCTTATTAGATAAGTGAGTTTCCTGGTCCTCACCCTCACTCTTCTTTTTTCCTTTTTATTTATTCTTCTCCCATACAATACTTCCTGACCACAGCCTGTGCTCCTCCACTCCTCTCAGTCCCCCCTACACCTTCTCTATCCCAGGTTGAGTCCACAGACTTCAGAGATTCACTGTCCAATGTGGTCACCACTGCTTTCATGTTATTTAAGTTTAAACTCATGAAAGTTCAATACAATTAAGAATTCAGTTCCAGTTTCATTAACCACGGGTGAACTATGATTATTAGTTACTGGAGACACATCCAACATTCCCAGAACTGCCAAGAGTTCTTTCTGTTAATGCTCAGAGTCAGGTATGTCCAACTTGGGGACAACGCTAAATTATAAGCTTACTTAAAACATTATATTTACTTTGCCCTTTTCGGGGGTGGCTTGATAATGTAGTTCTCAAGCATGAATTTTGCAGATGGCAACATCCTTTTACAATATCAATAGGCTGGATACAAGTCTTAGGGTTTCTGTGGCTGTGATGGAAGTCCATGACCAAAAGCAACTTGGGGAGGAGAGGGTTATGTCAGCCTACAACCCTCAGGTCACACTCCATCATTGAGGGAAGTCAGGATAGGAACTGAAGCAGAGGCCATAAAAGAGCACTGCTTACTGGCTTGCTCCCCACAGCTTGCTCAGCTTGCTTTCTTCTACAAGGCAGGACCAGCTGCCCAGGGATGGCACCACCCATAGTGGGCCGGGCATTCTCACATCAATCTTTAATCAAGGAAATGCCAGACAGACTTACCTACAGGTCAGTCTTACCGAGGCAAATTCTCAAAGGAGAGTCCCTTTTCCCGAATGATTCTAGCTAGTGTCAAGCTGCCATGAAACTAAACAACACCCTACACTTGCTAGATCCGGCCAGGCTCTTCCCCTCAGCACCTGTAGAGCCTTATTCAATGGCTTCACTCTGCCTAAGTTTCAGTGTCTCTATTTATTCAATCAGGCTAACGGTGACACCATCTCATAGAAAGAGATGATGGTCTTCTTATGCCAAGCCCTTTCTCTCTCTCTCTCTCTCTCTCTCTCTCTCTCTCTCTCTCTCTCTCTCAATCTCTCAATCTCTTCTCTCTCTCTTCCCTCTCTCCAACTGACCCTCCTCTCTCTCTCCTTTTCCTTTCTCTCCTTTCTCTCTCTAGCCTCTCTCCTTCCTCTCTCTCCTCTCTCTCTGCTTTCTCCTGTCTCTCTCCTGTCTCTTCCCTCACACTCCTTTCATCTATGTCTCCCCTTTCTCCTCTCTCTACCCTCTATCTCTCCCTTTTCTACTTTCTTTCTCCCTGTCTCTTACTCTTCCCTCTGTCACTCCCCCTCCCCTCTTTCTGCCCCTTCTCTCCCCTCTAGCCCCCTCTCTTCTCTGTCCCTCTCCTCTCTCTCTTCTCTCCTGCTCTGTCCATTCTCTCCCTCTCGCACCTCTCTCTCTGTCTCTCTCTCCCATCTCTCTCTTGACTCTGTATCCTGCCCCTTTCTCTCACTTACTCTTCCCTCTCTTGCTCCTCTCTCTCTCTCCCTCTCTCTCTCCTTCTCTCCCTCTCTCTCTCCGTCACACCCACTCTCTCACACACCTTTCTCTCACTCACCCATCTCTCTCTTGCTGTTCCCTTTCTGTCACTCACCCTTCTCTTGCTCACTTGCCCCCCTGTCTCCCTTTCCCCTCTCTCTTCCTTGCCCCCCTCTGGCTAGCCCCTTTCTCTCTCTCCCCTCTCTGTCTCACTCTCTCACCCCTTTCTCCCTTGCCCTTCTCCTGCTGCCCTTCTCTCTCCTCTTGCTTGCCCCTCTCTCTCTTGCTCGCCCCCATCTCACTCATCCCTCTCTCTCTTGCTCACCCCTTTCTCTCTCTCCCCTCTAGCTCTCTCTCTTCTCTTTCTCCTCTTACTTTGTCTCTCCTCTGTCTCCTTATCTCTGCTCTACCTCCTTCTACTCTTCTCTCTCCCCTCATCCCTCTCTCTGCCCCCTCCTCTCTCCACTGTCTCTCTCCCTTCTCTCTCTCCATCTCTCGCTGTCCCCCCTCTTGCTTTCTCCCTCTCTTGCTCACCCACTTTGTCACTTGCTGGCCTCTCTCGCGCTCTCTCGCCCCTCTCTCTTGCTCACTTGTCCTCTTTCACTCACCCCTCTTTCTCTTTCTCTCTTGCTCCTCTGTCTCTCTTGCTTGCCACTCTCTCTTGTTTATCCCCCTCTCCCTCCTTCGCCCCTCTGTCTTGTTTGCCCCTCTCTGTCACTCCCTGGATTCTCTCACTCTCTTGCTCCCCCCTCTCATTCATCCCCCTCTCCCTCTCTCTGGTCCTTCTCTGTCTCCTCCCCCTTCACCCCTCCTCATGAACCATGGCTAAGTTTCTCAGTCACACCTGAAGAATATACCAACCATCAAGTAACTCCGGAAGCTTAATCCAACAGCTTCTCCTCAGACTCCCATTTTTTTTTAATTTTTAAAATAATTGTATGTGAAAAATGTCTAAGTACTTAAAATACAATTTGCTAAAATTAACTTCCTCTTTCTCCGCATCCTCTCCAGCATAAACTGTCATTGGTATTTTCGATTTTCAGACTCCCATTTTTATCAGGTCTGATTTATTTATTTTTAAAATGTATTTGTGCTAGAGAAATGGCTCAGCAGTTAAGAATACTTGCTGCTCTTTCAAAAGTCCTGAGTTCAATTCCCAGCACCCACATGGTGGCTCATTACTATTATAGCTGTAGTTCAATAAGATACAATTCTGGTATGCATATATGCAGAGAAAATATCCATATATATTAAATAAATAAATAAATAAATAAATAAATGTACTTATTTGGTCTGGGTAGGTGACTCCGCACTTAAGAGTACTGGTTGCTCTTCGAGAGGACCTGTGTTTGAATTCCCAGCATTCACATGGTACCTAACAATTGTCTGTCACTCCAGTCCCAGGGTTCCAATACCCTCTTTTGGTCTTCACAGGTATGAGCCATGCATATGGTGCACAGACATACATATATAGACAAAAAATTCATACACATTAAATTAATAAATGTTTTAAAGTTTTTATTTATATTCTTCTAATTTTTATGTGTGAATACTTTGCCTGCACATACATATGTGCTTGCAACACACTTGAAGGCCAAAAGAGGGCACTGGATTACCTGGAACTGGAATTACAGATGGCTGTGAGCCATCACTTGAGTGCTGGCACCAAACCCAGGTCCTTGGAGTCATCTGTATAGCACTTAATTTACTTATTTTTGACACAGGGTCTAATGTAGCTCAGGTAGACCTCAAATTTGCTATGTAACTGAGGAATCACTTTTTAAATTATTTTTGTGTGTGTGTGTGTGTGTGTGTGTATTTGTGATGGCTGTGAATGCAGACACAGGCATGCCACGGAGTTCATGTAGAGGTCAAAGAGAACAACTTTTGTGAGTTGCTGGTTTGTTCCTTCCACTGTGGGATATGTGGATCAAACCCAGGTTTAGGCTTGCTCAGTGTGGTAGACTAAGCTCATAGGGAGTGCCACTATTAGGAGGTGTGGCCTTGTTGATGTAGGTATGGCCTTGTTGGAGGAAGCATGTCACTGTGGGGGCCGGCCTTAAGGTCTCCTATGCTCCTATGCTCCTAAGCTACACCTAGTTCAGTTCACTTCCTGTTATCTGTGGATCAAGAAGTAGAACTCTCAAGCTCCTTCTCCAGCACCATGTCCACATGCATGCTGCCATGGCCTGCCATGGTGATAATGGACTAAACTCTGAACTATAAGCCACCCCAATTAATTTTTTTCCTTTATAAAAGTTTCTGTGGGCGTGGCATCTCTTCACAGCAATTGAAACCCTAAGACACTCAGTAAGCCCATTTACCAGACGAATCATCTTGCCCTTGAAGATGACCTTGAACTTCTGATCCTCCTGCTTCCACTTCCCAAGTGCTGAGATCCCAAGTATGGATCATCACACCCAGTTTATGTGGTGTTGAAGATTAACCCTAAGACCTTATAAGACAAGCACTCTACCAACTGAGTTACTGCCTATCTCTTCTCTTTGAAGCATTTAACTCAAATTAATCCCCAAACATCCCCATCCAATAGCCCCCATCGACATTAACTCCTCTTCTGGGCAAGGCCAGCCCTACCTTGGCAGGTCTTGGTGGAAGGTTTCCAGTTCTCAATGCTGATGAGGGGCAGGCACACCTGCCCATCCTCCCTGACGTTGGGGTGGTAGATCTTGGTGATGAATTTCAAAGTGGGAGGCCTAAGTGGATAATCCCTGGGGAAATCAATTTGCAGATGGAAGGCCTTGAGGTGATAGGGAGGTTGGTCCTGGTCAAAGAGAAGAGACTGAGCTCTGTTCTGATGGTACAACTCCCTAAAAAAATGGCTTTCCTCCAAGGGCTTTCTTTGATCTGGTTCCCTCCCTTCCTCATCCCAGGGTCCCAGGTGTTCTCTGTTCTACTCCCAGGAAGATATGAGCATTTAGCAATTGCCTTAGAAATTAATAGAAGGATAGACTCGCACAAGAGTGCTGGCCTGCCAATCAGAAAAATCTTGGCCCTGGATTTTACTCTATTGTTATGAGTGAGCCACCTCCCATCCCTGAACCTCGCTTTCCTCAATGGAAAAAAATGGGTCAGAAACCCAGAAAATCACACAGATGGCCCTGGCTAAGCTCAGTAAGTCACAACAGAAAGCAAGCCGACATGTGAGAAAGACGTGTAGGGAAGAGAGGAGGCCAGCATGAGAGCTACCAGTGTGTGTATAACACATGTATGGAGCTGTCAAAGAACAAATTTACTAATTTAAAATGGTGCAGAAGCTATGCAAAACCAGAAAGAAGTTCTCCAAAAATTGAAATGTGCTCCATCAATTCCACTTTGGGATATAGTCCTCAAAGATTTTTTTTTTTAAAGATTTGCTTATTTTACATGTATGAATGGCTGCGTGTATGTATGTGTACCACATGCACATGGAAGTCAGAAGTTGTTGACTCCCCTGGGACTGGAGTTACAGACAGTTGTGAGTCACCATGTGGGTGCTGGGAATTAAACTCATACCCTGCATGAGCAACCAGTGCTCTTAACCACCAAACCATCTCTCCAGTGCTCCCCAAAGAATTTTGTTTTTGTTTTTGATTTTCAAGACAGTTTCTCTATGTATCCCTGGCTGTCCTGGAACTCACTCCGTAGACCAGACTGGCCTAGAATTCTCAGAGATCTGCCTGCCTCTACCCTTGAGTGCTGGAATTAAAGATGTGTGCCGCCACTGCCTGAAGGAATTTTTAAATAAAATCACTTTATTGTAATGAAGTCACAAATAAAAATATCACAGAGTTAAGTTAATGTAGCCACTCAAACAAATGCTTGCCCAATCCTAAACTCTATACATCTCAATTAACTTCTGTACAGCTAGAACAGACTTTCTGAAACCATGCAACTTTTCTCAGGTTTTTTGTTTTGTTTTATTTTATTCTTCTCTCATGCAATACATTCTGACCAAAGATTCCTCTCCCTCCACTCCTCCCAGTTGTGGTAGTCCTCCCCCTACACACCTCCACTCTCCCCCAGATCCACAGTTCCTGCTTCCCTTCAGAAAAGAGCAGGCCTCCCAGTGATATAAAATAATTAGGGCTTTACACTTTCACTTTCAATATACTTTTACAGACTTGTTTACCACGCACAAAAAAGGAAAACTATGACAGAGTTGAAACTGGAAAAACAAACCAGTTTTATGTCCTCTCTTATGACTCATGTGTCCTTTTGTCTATATTCTGTCTGTCCTCATCACCTAATGTTACCCTTTCTTAGTTTCCTTTCTAAATGTCACACTGTGCCCACCCTTACAGCTGCTTGCACATATACACTAGAGACTAGGATCCACATATGAGAAAGAACATTCTGATTTGTTTAGTTTTAGTTTGAGTGACCCCCTTAATAGTATACTTTCCAAGTCCATCCATTTGCCTGCAAATTTCATGGCTACATTTTCCTATACAGCTAAAGAAGACAAATAAATAAAATGAGACACATATGTACAAAGAAACATTATCCTAAAAGGAAATGAAAGTCTAATACATGATACAACTTGGATGGACCTTGAAGCCATAACAATAAGTGAAATAGGCTAGATTAAAAAAAAACAACAACAAATTGACAGCTACTGTATTGATGGCACTCCTGTCAATACCTAGAATGGTCAAATCCTAGAAATATAAAACAGAAAAGTGCTTATCCTCCAGTACCTGCAGAAGGAATGGACAGATATTATCAAATGTAGGCAGAGTTTGAAATACAGGTTGAAAAGTTCTAGAAATCAAGGGGGATGATGACTACATAATGTACTTAATGCCACTGAACTCTTTTGGGGGGGGAGCGTTGTTTCGAGACAGGGTTTATCTGTGGCTTTGGAGCCTGTCTTGGAACTAGCTCTTGTAGACCAGGCTGGTCTTGAACTCACAGAGATCCACCTACCTCTGCCTCCTGAGTGTTGGGACTAAAGGTGCGCGCCGCCACCGCCCAGCACCACTGAACTCTTTAAAAATGGTAAATGTTATTAATTTACAATGAAATATATACACAGACAAAACAGACATACACATAAGTTTAAAATAAATCTCAAAAAAAACTAGACATAAAGTTACATGCCTATTATCCCAGCATTTGGAAGGTGAACTTAGGAGTAGCCTGTAGTTCAAGTCAGCCTGGACTACACAGCAAAACTCTGTCACAAAACAAAATAAAAACCATGAACCTAGAGGCTGGAGTAAACAGGGGTTTGGCAATGATCAGAAGCTAATACAAGAAGAATTCAGATTAAGTGAGCTGAAGATTCCCCTGGGCACCTACACTGGGCCATCTGTGCTTAGGAATGGCCTGTTCACATTAGCCTGTAGAGTGGAGTGCAGGGAACATGAAGACCCTGAAGATACAGGCTCAGTCTTGACTCTCACTCACTAGCAATATCTCTTAGACAAGTAACTGGACCTCCCCTGGTTTCCCTACAGGGATAAGAGTTGATGTCTTCACAGAGCTTAGACGAGGATGAAATAAGCTAGTGTATTTCAAAGGCATAAAACAGGCAATGGCAGCACACATAAATGCCAGCTATTATTGATAAGTATGATGGCCATGTCTCTCAGCATAAGGTAACTGTAGTTCAGTGCATCTTTGTAATGTCCAGGCCATGGTGGCTGTGCCTCTGTTGGTTCTCCTTCCCTTCAGGCCAGATGCTTTCTTCATCACAGCTCTCCAGGCACATCTAGATGCTAACAAATTTCATTCAGTCTCCTGATTGGCTGGGAAGATTTTGGCACACCTGCCTGAGGAGCCAACCATAAAGATCCTTTGACCTCACAACATCTCCGAAACATGACCTCTCCTAGTTTTTTCTATGACTGTGTTCTTCCTTCTCACCTGTTCCTCCTCCTTTGGTGTCATCATCCCAAAACTGGTCCCCTTGAAGACACAACCAGGACCTATTTTAGTATCTTTTCCCCTAACACTTGTGGCCCAGCATCTAGACAGCTTGAACCCAAACCTGAAGGACCTTGACAGGACTCAGATGTTGGCCTAGATCAACCCTTTCTCCATTTTTCTGGACTACAGGTTAGTGGAAAAAGAGGGCGAGAACATTGCAATGGTAAGTATGGATTCTAAGCAATTAGACCATCAGTTTGTTCCAAGAGCTTTAAAAACTAGGCATAGTAGCACACGTTTTTAATTCCAGCATTCAGGAGGCAGTACCATGAGTTCAAGACCAGCCTGATCTACATAGCAGTCTCCAGACCAAGCAGGGCTACATAGAGAGATCCTCTCTCTCTCTCTCTCTCTCTCTCTCTCTCTCTCTCTCTCC